TTATAATTGAAAACCCAAATTAATGCGGATGTCTGGAAGTAACTGTTAAAGCGAAAAGACTTGTAAACTTTTTAAAAAAATTCCACGTAGAGGAGTAAGGTTGCTACTGTTGGAAGCAAAGCATTCATCGAGAACAGGTGGTTTCATTCGAAAAAGCCTTTATTTCAGATCTTACCTAGCACAAATATTTGCTACCTCCTTATCTCTCCACAGCACTGCATTGCTACCTATCTACCTCAATTACGTTCAAGTTGTGCAAACCGTTGCCTCCCCACCTCTCTGCATATCCCGCCAAGCAAATTTCCTACAATTTCGTCCTCTCCCAAGGTTTGTCACTTCCACCATACATCCGCAGCCATATGACATAGACCTGGCGGGTAAGGGTATCTCCGAGTTTATCTATACAAGCCACCGTCGAAAATGACAGCATGGCCGCAGCTGGTAGTCAGCATTCAACTGGAAACCACTACCTACCTTACCTACTCTAAAGGATCACAGCTATCATACTTACCAAAGCCAAACTCCTCCACCTCATTAACTTACCCCTTGTGGTCAATAATTGCCAGGTTCATCAAGTGCACTTCACATTATCACTCAAATGGGATGAATGGAAGCATTGCGCTTTCGAAATAAAATGATATCTGCAATAGAATTCACACACTATTGTCACCAATTACCAGCAGGCAACGTGGCCAAGCTGCTACATTTATCATCTTGTGGCCAGTGTCAGGTTCCTCACTCTCCTCTCCTCTCATCCACCAAATCCTCACTGCACACTCTAAACAGGCATGCTCACACAATACAATGACTACTGAACATCACCCAGTAGTGTCGATATTCTACTGCTTGATCTACTACTGATCGGGAGGCAATCGACCCGCGGTTGCTTGCTTAAGGCAAAGTACTAAGTTAGAACTTCCACCTAATTCAAACATTGGAGACTTTTTGACATCCAATGCCATTCGCGTCACTAACATGCACGTTTTCATAAGAAGTAGCAAATGTGCATTACAGAGAGGCACTGAAACAGCTAGCCGACTAATGCAATGGTACTGAAGTAAATCTCTTAGCAAGCAGGTATCTACAATGGTGTCTGCTAAATCATTAGCTATGTAAATGACCCGGTTTATTTTGTGACGCGTTCCACACAATAACGCTGGCAGTGAATGAGTGAGTCAGAGAGGTGTAAGGATAGGCAAAACGCCGTGCGGCACTTTGTCATTACTGGGAATTGAAAGATGACTGGAATGACTTGAATTTAACCCATGAAATGAAATTGATGCGCCTTAAATTACACATAACTTGATCTAAATAGTCCATTGTTTTATGTCATCGGCGGCCCCTAGGAGCATGGTCTTATGTGAGGGTTGCCTTACACGTGGATTGAAGCGATTCATCAGTCAAGACGGAATGCTGATCAATGATAGTACTGAATGATGGATTGTGTAGGAAAGACAATGAGTGAATTGGGGTAAGGTGGGGTTTGGTTGGGTTGGGCAAGAATGCTGTCGGCGAGACAGTGTTGGTGGGTGGATTGAAGTATACACTGAAATGGATGTGAGTGTGGGCATTTGGTAAAGTCGCGTTATCAGCTCTTTTTGGTGAGATGGGTGCTAACGCATGAAGAGTAAGATCTCTGACTCTGATTTTCACATCGTAGCAATGACAGATGGCAGGCTAACATCGGTGGGCTAATCTATTGCTGCACTACTGTGTAGAGAGAGGAGATAAACTGCTTTGTTCTCTGCATTTGCTGATCTTTACTCCAACAATGCAGAAGTGTTAAAAGACATTTGTCTGCGTCGTAATTAGTATGGTAGTCTCTTAAGTTCAATTGGATATATTTATAATGCTAATTATAAGCAACACAACATCCAGATGCCTTTAATCGTACTTTCTCAAGATTAATTAATTAATTTAACAGAAAATACGGCCTCAATTAGTTTGACATTTAAGTTGATGCATCGTAAACACAATAATAACAAC